GTCACAAATTTTCCTTCTTCATGTTAAGATAGATGAGGTGCTTGAGGTAAACAAATTGAACACATGCAGACTTCGTATAAAGATAGCCAGTTGGAATTTTATTTCTTTTTACTCAGACATTTGTATTTGGGGGACTCACAATAGGGCACTGTGGGTGTTTTCTAGGTTGTCTTTAAACTTTTCTGATTAAATTTTAGGTGGGGATTTTTTCGGGGGTGTAACATGATGAGAAGTAGGAGTGTTACTTTAGCATTGAAAGTTTAGCATTGAAATTTTCATTACATTAAAAAAAATCTGTCTCAGCCCTCCAGTCCTCCTCATCACCGCAAAGCAAATATCAAGTGTCGTTGATCTGCATGTCTTACAGAATTCCTGGCCCAGCTCTTTATGGACTCAGGTTATGAAGAAGTGGTGAACGAGTATGTCTTTCGGGAAACAGTGAATAAAAAAGAAGGTCTGTGTGTGCCGAGAGTTTTCCTTCAGAGCAAATTCCGAAAGTCTCCGAAGAACCCAACTGCTATGACACTGGGCGTGGGTCAAAAGTCCTGACCTTTCACAAGGTTGCATTTGTGAAGGAGGATAAAGTCACACTTTTTATTTTGTGTATTCTTATATTTTAACTTTTTTAAATGAGTATGTTTAATTTTTGTATTAAAAAGTAGCAAGTGTGTGTTTATGTGTGTATGTATTATAGAAATGCAAAAGCAAGTAGAATTGCAAAGCCTGAAAAGTTTTACAGTATAACATAATTTAGCCATGTTGACTAAAAGCCCCCAGAGGAAAGCATAAAGACCCAGTAGCATTTAAAGAGATCTTTGTCATTACTGATGTGATTCTGTAAATGTGCCTCCAGGCAGCATGTCAGACAACCCTGTAAAAAATGAGGCCAAATAGACTAAAATAACACATCCACATGTATTTTTAGCTTGAAGGACTGTTCTCTTTTTTCCTCTGTCTCATATTTGCCCATTTTCTCTGCTTCAGTTAATTTATATTCCTTTTCAAGACCAGTGTTCCACAAATACCACTTATGCTGTGTCATAGGAACGCACTGTGGCTCTCTGCCTAATTCTGAGACCCTGTATAGTTGGTCCAGTCCCTGGCCACACTGCCTCAAGAGAGGAGAAGGCCACCACCTATCCCCACCATCTGCCTTCTGTCCTATTTTTCTTTTTTTTTTTTTTGGCAGAGTGCTGTTTATGAGAGCATCTGTCTTGAGCGTATTAGCCGGACTACATGTGCAGCAAGCTAGGGCCCTTCAACACCAACCACATCTCAAGAGGGTTCCTAGTGGGGCAGGGGCTGGATAATAGTCATAGCCATTTTGTACAACGAATAAATCCTGGCTCCTGGTGAGATGAGGGAGAGGCGGTGGGTCTCAGCGTGTTTGCCGGGTGTCCTAACTGCCATCACTCCTCTAGTATTTGGCGTAGGGGAAGCAAGAGGAACCCTTATCTCTTGCTGGTCTGTTGCATTGTGTATTCTCCCCTTCTTCTGAAGGCTGGAAGATGGCTATACTAGGTGAAAGCAAAACTGATAACAGTACCACGTTTTCTCTTTGCAGTGTTTTTATTTTTCTTTGAAATCAACTTGTAAAGAAGATGTACCTATAGGATAGATGCTCACAGGCATTAAAGAGAGTCAAACCCTGTCCCAGGACAGTTTGTTAGGGGAGAGCCAGGACCAGGCCAAGGCTCCTACTTCCAATCCAGGGCTCTCCTCCATGCCCCCTCCACCGAATGAATCCCACACCAGCTCTAGCCCCAGAACTGCCTACTGCCTCCACAGAACTCTTCACCTATTCATTAGGTCTGACCAATGTCACTTGGATTTTAGTGGCCGAGCTGGATAAAAATGGGATACTTAATGGTAGAAAATGGGCAATGTGGTATATAGTAGGATAAGCATGGGCTTTTGTTATCAAGTCATTTGGAATTGTGACCTCATCGCTTACCCCGTTTGAACCTCAGATTCCTCATTTGTAAAATGGGGATAGGTGTACTGAAGAGTGCACATAGAGGTTGCTGATCCAGGGCAGACCATCTGCCCAGGAGCCAGGAGTCACACACATTCTAAAGAAAGCTGAACAGGCTAACAAGGACCGTGACCATAAGAAAAGGCCACTCTACCTTTGCCAGTAGTTGGCTGAGAGGACATCTGTAAATGAGGCTAACAATTTCCTCCAAACACAACTTGGCATTGTCTTCAGCGACAGTAGGAATTCCTACTCCATAAAGGAAGGCTTGCATAAATTTTCACTTAGGATATTTAAAGTGAGCAAGATAATCTCTCAGTGACCCCACTTTAAAATATATTGGTTGTAAAATATACTTCTAGTTAAATGAATGAGGTAACACAGTCCATCAGGGTTTTAGCTATGAGCCAGTGAATTGGATTAAGAAAAAACAAAAGACAGCATTATAAAAACATGACTTGAGTGCCACTGCCTCAATATTCTTGTGTTAATTCTCCCTAAGCACACCTCCATTATTGCACCCCCATATTAACAGAGGAGCAGAGTCTCCCACAATTTGGGTGCCCAAGGACCCAAGAAAGCAAGGGTACAGTTTAGTAGCAAAACTCCGTAACAGCATTTGTTGAATTGTAGCCTACAGAGAGTCAACCAAAATTACCTTGTCTTTACAGACAAAACAGCCTCAGAAAGTTAGTGGGTACTGGTTAGCAGTACTATAGAAAATAGCATGAATACTATAGTACTATGTAGTATGGTATATGTAGCATATACATAGTATATTATACTACACAGTATATACCCTATACTGTATATTTCTCCCGAATTTTTTATATATACTGCATAATATATAGTACTATATACACACTGCATACAATGATATTAATAAATTATAGGATTTGGAGTATGAATATGTGAGTTCAAGTTCAGGACTTGCTGAATTCAAGCCTTCAACTTCTCTGAGCCTCTGTCTCCACGTCTCTAAGGCGGAGATCCCACTACCTACAGCACCGGGCTGCTGCCAGGATTAAATGAGACCATGTGCAAGGGCTTTGTTTACTACAAAGGGCTAGTCAAGTTCTAGTTATTTCTATTACTTGTATTCCCCAAGAAAATGGCCTCTCCCATGATTATTATTAACTCCAAATTCCTTCAAGAGGGCTGTCATTTTTAAATATTGGTATCCTTGAAAGGGCCCAGGATTTGGATGCATCACCACAAGGTGGCGTTAGATACCAAATATGCCTATTGGCTTCAACTCCCATCTTAACTACAGTCTATATGTGTCCATTTTTATTATCATTGAAGAGGAAGGAAAATGCTCACAGATGTGTTTTCTAGGTCGACTTTAGCTCAACTTAAGATCAATGTTGGCCACACTGTGGAGATAAGAAATCAAGGGAGATTTTATCTAGCCTTCAATCTACTTTGCCTACTGAAGGCAATTTGCTCTCAACTAAATTTAGGTAACATCTTAGGCAATAGGCTCTGAAGGTGTCCTCACCCCAGGCACACTGGGAAGCATAACTATATGCTGGACACCAATCAAGGATCGCAAAGTTTTTTTCTTGGGGTAAATAAAATATCCCTTTACACTTTCTTCATCCTTAAATGATTCTGTGGATTCATTTTTACTGTTGCTCAGGATTAAGGCAAAGCAAGAGAAAGGACTACAGCACAGATACTTATTTGCCTCACATATTATTCATAGTTATCTTTGATAGCATTTGGTTCCCTATTTCACAGCTGTCGGCCAATGAAGGGGAAATTGTGAAATGTCCTGTATACCAAGAGAGTGTTTTATAGGACGATGTTTGCTGTTGGGGAGAAAATATTTAATATAATCTTAAATAAGCTCTGCTACCAAAACCGAAAGTTCCATTAAAAATAAAATTAGCTTTTTTTTTTTTTTTTAACATTTCCTTTCTACCCTTCTTAAACGTATAGCATTTCATGGAGTAGTGTTTAATGGGTACTAGGCACAGGGCACTGTGGGGTCACTCTGGTGGGAGCACAGGGCTGGGGAAAGAGAACAGTGTGGACACATCCTGAGAGGTAGGGAAATAGCCCCTGCCATGTCTTTACTAAACCAAAGTAAAATGGCTAGGAAACCAAACAAACACTCAGAACACCAGAGAAAAGAAAAAGAGGAAGAAAGGCTATGGAAAACCTAAGTATGGTAACTGTCACCATCATTTGGAAAGGATATTTCCACATTTTTCCAGTAGAAGTATCATATGCTTAGGTCTGGGGCAAGGCCGTGGAGATGAGAACGTGATACATAGCTCCTCTAGAGTATCTTTCCAAGAATGTCTAAATCTATAAGGAAAATATCAAGACAGCAAAATGAGTCCATTCCCAGAGGAAATACAACAGCTAATGAAACAGGCAAAATGGTCAACTCTGAATAGAAGTAATATAAATTAAATTGAGATTCTCTTTTCGGACTATCAAATAGGCTTAAAATGATAATATTCAATGCTGATAAAGGAGTAGAGAGACTGATTATGGGGGTACAGAAAGTACATTTTCTCTAAAATAGCACTGTCCTCTAGAACTTTCTGAAAAGATGGAAATGTTCTCTGTCTGCATTGTCCAATATGGTAGCCATACACACCATGTGGCTATTATGGACTAAGGCTAGGGGCCAGTGCAACAGAGGACCTCATTTTTAAACTGCATTTAAATTTAAATATAATTAGCCACATAGGGCTAAGCAGCTACCGTATTGGACATCACAGGGCAAGAGCACAAGTAGGCATCCTGTAGCAAATCCCATAAGCCTATACGTAATCTTTAATCCAGTAATCCCACATATGGGAATCCAATTTAAGGAATTAACCAGAGGGGTATACACAAGATTTCATCCAAAAACTATTTAGATCAGTGAAAAGATGGCAACAGCTCAGACGTTTAAAAATAGGTTGAGGGAGAGAAAAAAATGGTGTAGATGATAGAGGCTCTGTTCATCCCTCTGGCGACCAAATCAAAGTTGTGACAGAAATAAGGAGCAGCGGCAAGGAAAAATCACCTGGGATCTAGAGGAACAAGCCATACAACTATGGAGAAATCTAAGAAAGCACCCTGCCACGGCAGAAGGTAGGACAGGGCAAGGACGCGGGGCTGCTCAGTGTCGAGCGGCTGAGATGGAGGATGCAGCAGCGGCAGACACCTCTTAAAGGGGCCGTGGCCATGAGCGAATTTTCCCGATGACGGACCTGCTCTCTCTGAGCACCAGTGCCCATTTGGCTGTGCGCAGGGGGCACCAGAGACTTACAGGGAGGCATTTTTGGAGTGAGTGCCTAGGTGAGACTCACTTGGTATAGAAGTGCCGGCAGTATCCATTGTTCCCTATTGAGCCCTCCCCGCTCATACCCTGAAACCCCACCTACCCCAACTCTGGGCCCCACCCAAGCCACGTCCAAGTATATCCTCAGCGAGTCAGATGCTCTTGCTGAGCAGCGCCTAGATTCACACTGGTGGATGTATCTGGCCTCGGTTTCTGGTGTGGCCTTTTGAGGCAACTATAAGCACAGCACCTGTGGATTGCTTGCTGAATCTTAGTAGGTGGCCCCAGAGGAGTAGAGGCTTGGGCTAAATTTGGCCTGCAGCTGAACCCCTCTCAGGATTGTGCCACTGGACACCTACTTCACAAATCCACACTAATTAGACCAGGAGACTTAGGAGCT